GTGTGTGTGTGTGGAAGACGCAGACAAATTATGGACAAATTACGTCGACCTGGAAATGAGCAACGGCCATGTCGCGACCGTGGAGCGCCCGCTTCATTATATGCGCCGCAATAGATGCGCCCTTATTGTCGCACACCTTCCGCCCCTAGCACCGCCCGCACCCTGCAGCAACCAGCTCACCCGGCGCTTCCCTTAGCACCGCTTTGTTGGTGTGCCTTCGTCGACTGTTTGGCTTTGGCTTTGGCTTTGGCCTGGCTATATTTAAACCCTAGGATGTCAGCGCCAGGACTTTGCTCAGTCGGCTGGTTAGTTCTACTTTTTTCTCCAGCTCATATGTGCATTGTGTGTGTGCGTGTGCGTGCGGGTGTGGGGTTGCGTATGCCTGTGTGTGTGTGTGTGTTGCGGTCGCCTTTTTTGCCGCAACCATTTCCGTTCGTTTGTCGCCATTTTTATTAAACGAGTCTTTGCTGCTGTCAAGTTGTTGATTCCATTGCGTTTCCGTACTTCTTTTTTTCCGCTGCTCAATAGCGGCGCCCACGCCCACGCCGCCCCATTCACTGTTACCATTTTAATTTAACAACATGACAAATATTTAGGTCGCTGCCACGCCACGCCCCCCGGCACTGCGCTTAATATTAAAAATGCAATTTAACATACATTTCTTCAGTGCAGCCAGTACACTGGAAAAAAAAAGGAGAACAAAGTTTCTGTAAAATTTCGAACGCAACGATTTTTTGGTATTTTCGCGCATATTCAGGACTTTTTTTTGAGCTGCGTCCGGGCACATTTTATATTATTTAGTGAAATTCACTTGAGCGTACAGCCAAAATGGGCAGGCGGGGGCGTGGCCGGCCGGCAGGCCGAGCAGCTCGCGGCAACGGATAAGCCTTGTCGGCCTTTTGCCGGAAATTGAGGCAGCAGCAGCGCGAAAAGCGGGAAAAGCGAGAAAAGCGAGAGGGGGGGAAATTATTTCAGCTGCAGCAGCTGCAGGTGCAACATTTGCAGCTGAGTTCTCGGATTTTTTTCTTCATCATCATTTTCGTTGGCTCCATTTCGGACAAACTGCTCAAGTTGAGGCCATGGCACGAGGGCGTTGTAAATATAAAACATGAAATATTCACGAGACAGGCTTTTAAAATATTGCTTAAAATTGTATGCTGCCGGCCATGGGCAGACCAGGGCCAGACCAGTGCAGAAAAGAAGCAGGAGAAGGCACTGAATGCTGAGAATAAGGCCATACGGGCTGAATTTAATTGAAGTAGCCCATCCGCTGGGCAGACACACACACACACACACGCATACATTTATGCACACTCCTGGAGCAGTCCTAACGAAGAAATTATTGGCCAGTGCATCAATCTTCATTAAGCCTTGCGTATAGTTTTTGATGCATTTATCAAATTAAATGCAAACTCTGTGGAAATTGGTTTAATTCGCTTTCAGATATCTCAGCATTATTTTAAATATAGCACTTCAATGAAAACTATATTTGTCAGCCGAACAGAAGACGTTGCCTCAGCTCGAGTGCTCGGAGTGAGCTGCCAAAAAATGCAAATATTGCATGCGAATGTGGAGAAAAGTAGCAAAGTGAAATGCGAAATGCGAAGAGGAAAACCTCAACAAGTCAACATAACGAGCACGAAAAACCAATGACAAATCGCAGTATTTGTCAGTTTGAGAAGCATGTCAAGCGACTAAATTACCGTTGTATTCCCGTTGCTCTACACACACACACACATACTTTATCTCGCTCTCTCTCTCTCTTTCTGTCTGGCTCCTGTGTATTGATTTCGTTATTTTTCAAAAAAGTTTCCTTGCTGCTTCTATGCTCCACATAGTGGCTTTTCGCATTGCCATGTCGCCAACTTTGCTTTGCTATAAAACTCAACCGCAATTCATTTGAATTCAATTGTAACAACAAAGTGTGTACGAGTGTGTGTGTGTGTATTGCACTTCCGGCATTGCTGCTGGCACACACAAAAAGCCATAGCAGCTGTGTCAACTGTCGGCGCTCCAGCTAAAGGTCTTGCATTATGCATTTAGCTAGCAAAATTTAATGTGATTTAAGCATTCCGAGTGCCAGGACTGAGCCGCACATCGAGGGGCACAGCACGAGATGCCCGCATATCAGAGCCAAAATGCTCGAGGGGTCATGAGCTAAGTTTATTGTGCACATTTAAATGAAATTGCTGCGCTCAATTTATGCGCTAAGCGCCGCAAGGCATTCACACACACACACACACACAGCCATTCACAGAGACACTCACAGCTATACACTGGCAAAAAAAAACGTTGCAGCAGGTTACACATACCACTGCACCGCTGCTCATTCATTTCAATTCGTCGCTTATTCTATTCTATATTTTTTTCTTCTTTTATTTGCTTTGCTTTTTTGTTAGGCGCAATAGTTTTATGAATATCGTTTTGCCTTTTCAGTTTCAGTTGTTATTATCTGTGGTGTTGTTTTTGCTGTTGTTGCCTTTGCCAGTCTGTTTGGCTTCAATGTGCGCATATTGTTGGCATAATTGAATGCTTTTTGCCACAGCCAAGTTGGCCACGTTTTTCGCTCGTTCGCTGTTTGCGCCTGCCTGTGCTAAAGTCTAATGTGATTTTTGTTGACTCTTTAGCAGGCGAGGGGCTAGCGGGCAAACGAGTTCCATTCAGCTAATATGAATAAATGACAAAGAGCCAATACTTGATGTTAAATTAGTTTTGGTTTTATAATAAATAAATAAATATATAATTCTGGGACAAATATAATCAGTTATGATTGTTCTTCATAATACTTCTGTATTAATATAGGTAATAAATAAATAAAAATTAAATTAAAATTAATTAAAGCAAATATTGTATTATATTTTATTTTATTTATATATTATTATTATTATTATTAATATTATAATAATAATAATAATTATTATTATTATTATTATTATTATTATTATTATTATAATTATTATTATTATTATT